ACTTTATGAAATGGGTCAGAGAAAAATTAATACCAAATTTAAGTAAGCCCAGTGTAATTGTTATGGATAATGCCAGCTACCATATAAAACAAATCAATAAACCGCCTATAATGTCTAATACCAAAGCAGATATCCGTAAATGGCTTGTAAATAATGGAATACATTTTGAGGAATATCAGACAAAGGCAGAGTTAATGTGTTTGGTTAATGATAAGAAAACATTGCCTGTATATGAAGCTGAAGAGATTTTAAAAGAACATAATCATGAACTTTTATTGCTGCCACCGTATCATTGTGACTTAAACCCAATAGAGATGGTTTGGAGTCAAGCAAAAAGAAAAATTGCAAGCAGAAACATTGGAATACCAGGAAAGGAAATGGAAAACTTAATAATAGAGTGTTTTAACTTAATTACCCCTAGTGACTGGAAGAAATACACTGATCATGTTTTAAATGTCGAAAATGATTACAAATTAAAAGATGGCATTGTTGAAAACGAACTTGAAAAATTTATTATATCTGTTGGTGCAGACAGTAGTGAAGAGAGTGACTCTGATGATTCCTTGTCATTGTTATCAGGTGTAGAATATTTAGAAACAGATTTTGACTATGAATCAGACTAAAGTATTTTTAGTCTGATTCATAGTCAAAATCTTATCTTAAATTTTCTATTGTGATTAACATGATGATTTTGTGACACCTGTATTATGTAATTTATCCATGGCACTTAATTGTAACAAAAATAAATGTTTTTTTTATTGTAATCTGGTGTTTATATTGACTAATTTAATTTGATAGATAGTGGTTCTGGATCAGAGCAAAAGGTTGTGATGAAAATCCCTTAGGAGACATGTATGTGTTATGAACACATTATAAATATAAGGGCCAGAAATCAAAATTGGCTAACATCACATTTATTAAAAAAATGTGGCCAGAGTCGCCCATATTCATTACAAAAAAACAAAGAAGTCGTTGCAAAAAACACCCTTTTAATTAATGACAAATATGAATTTTTAATATTATAAGTGCTGTTAGCCAATAGGTATAACGAATGGGTTAAAAAAAAGATTCGATTTAGTCCGTCAGTCAGATAATAGAAAAATATTGGATACGTATTTTTTTTCGCTTTAATTTAACAACAAATGGCTTAAGAGGTACTATGCGACGACTTCAAATATGCTTTGCAACAATGTTACTTTAATACAGTTTATCGATACGAAATCAAGTGTCAAAATGGAGTCCAGTGGAGAATGCCGATATTGACATTTCGAAATTGCTCATCATTGATAGAGAATACGAAATAGTGATTTTGACACAATCAAAGTGTCTATTTTTTACGGTGATGACGATTCTTGGTTGTCAGTTGAGTTAGTGAATAGGCCTACTGATATGCTGTTAACTGTACAATTAAGAACAGTCACGCTTTAGTCAAATGTTCCAAAACAAATAATTTTAATTGATATCTAAATGTTAAGATTAAATATAATTAATAAAAGTATCAAAATTATTTTGCAGTACTACATTCAGTGTTTACTGCTTAAGAATTTTTGAAATTGCCGCCCTTTTCTTGTGACACGTTTCGCTTGCCAGACTCTAACTAAAGGTGTTATGGAGCTCCGTAACCGTAACCAAAACTATCGGATATCTGAAATAAAAGTTTCGGATAATTACGGATAGAGGCCGAATCTACATGAAATATGACACTATGACTGGTTCGGTGCTTAAATAAATGAAAATCTGACTAAGCTTGATAACTGAATATATTTTATAGTGTAAATAAATAACTCTCCCTCGGGTTCTAGACCAAATAGAACTTTAGTAATTTTCTTTATGATACGTGAAAACAACAGAACTAATAATTGATGTCATGTATAGAACCATGAAGCTAAAGAAATAACTGGAGACCAAACTCCTCCATACCTACTTGAAACATAAAAATTTGACCTTGAATGCTTTCTATTTCATTCCTTAGGTCCCCCTCCTCTCTTTCTAATAGGGTGACCACACAACTACAAAATAAAGGAGACAAGTTTAAAGAGTAGAACGTTAAGGCAAAAAAAGTATCAAATTTTCCTAGGAAGATGCAAAGTTTACACATGACATTAATAGATCTAATCTAGATTCTACGTCAAATATGAAAATGAATTTATTAAAGTTCCGTACAAAAAGCCTTTTTTTCCGAATCTACTGGACCAAATCTTGTAAAATTTGTCATCCTTTGACCTAAAAAAGATATACAGAGTAATTAATTTTTTTTTTACAAATAAGGGTTATTTTCGGGGGACAAATGAGGAAATTTAAAAAAGTTTTGCTACGTTACTGTGTCGTACGTATAATAGTATTTAATGAGTCTCGTTAGGGGGTTCTCAAATAAGAAAATAACAATTTTTGAGTTTGATTAAAACTTAGCTGTGTGGGAATTAGAGTTGGCAAAAACATCTTCTTAATAATCACCAGCCTATTACTGTACCCACAATGGGTCCATTCCGGATTGGAGGGTATTTACAACTGCAGATGCAATCGGGACAAACTGCTTAAAGTGCCTTCCAAAGCACGGAGAAGATCTAATATGCAAAGTGAACTACAAGACTGCAGACTACGATGGTCAGCTTACCTTCCTTCCGACCAGGTTGAAATGGAATAAGCACCCAGTAAATATTTCACCCTTAAGTCAATTTACTGATTTACATATCACATTTTTCTCTTACATTCTCAGATGTAATTGTCATTCAGATAAAAATAAAGCAACATTATGCTATTTTTAAATTTAATTTATATGTGACTAAAAAAGTACAATTTTGATGACAATAAATACTATTTGATTGTTACCATAGCAAGTCTATCGGACAACCCACGACGAGATGTTAAAGGTGTAGAAGGCATGGTAAATGCATCACTTTTTAGATCAGATTGTCCCGACTGGAAAAAAAAAACGAATTATGGTTATTTTGTCTAAACCCCACCATTAGGGAATTAAGATATTTCGAGACCATTTTTTGATGACATATTACATTAAAAAACTTTGACTCCCCTCTCGCAAGTTTGTCTATACAAATTCTCTTAATATTTTTATATAATAGTTCGTCGTTCCCCGTTCTACCAATAAACCAATAGACTTAAATTTGTATTTAATGTATATCCTTTGTCTTATTAATGAAATATAATTAAGTATAATTAATACACTAATTCATGTTCTATTTATATAAAAAATAAATACTTTTCAGGTACTGAAAAGTTTCGGTTTCCGTAACCGAAACCAGATAATCTGAAAAGAAATCATATCCGTAACGGAAACCGATATACAAATCTCAAATATCCGTATCCGTAACCGAAATAACATATCCGTAACTAGGGATGTGAGATTAATAGAAAATAATCGATTTAATAAAAATTGATTTTCTTTTATAAAATATCAATCGATTTGTCAATAATCGATTGTAATGAAAATAAATAATCGATTTTTTCTATTATTTAAAATCCTACATGCTTTTCATATTCCAATAATAAACCTAAGAGATTAATATTAACAATTAATCAGATAAAAAAAATGTTAATAAAAAAATCGACAATTCAAAACTAAAAATCAAAGCAAATGTTCTTTTAAACTTTCAAGGTAAGGCATAATGAAACCAAATATCATTATTGATTGAAATTCTCAGTATCTTTAAACGTTTTATTATAATAAAAATTAAATGAGCACCCCAACAAAATGACGACCTTATTGTCGCAAAAAATAAAATATAATAATCAATAAAAAATAATTTGTCACCTATGTTCAGTCCTATTTTACATGTGACTTGTATTAAAATAAAATACAGGTACTTAAAATAACAATTAAAAAAACTGAACGACGACGTTATGGTCTCAAAAATAAAAATATAAAACAATTCTTTCGTTATTTTAAACAATAACAAAATCAAAAATATTTATTGTCACAAATGGCCCGCCTTATTTTCATTTGACTAGTATTAAAACAAAATATTTAAAATGACAAAAAAATTTAATGACGATGTTACGGTCTCAAAAACAAAAATATAAAACAATTCTTTCGTTTATCTTTAAGTTTAAACAATCAAAATATGAAAAATAATTATTGGCACTAATTTTCAGTCTCGTTTTATGTAAGAGTAGTGTTAAAATAAAATTAAACGATAAGTGAAAAAGCTTAACACCAAAATAAATGTATCATTTTTTAGCTTCTTGTGACAACACGTTCACAAGAAGCTAAAAAATGATACATTAAATTTAAATAATTATTCCCATAATTTTTCCGGTAAGCAGTTTAAAAACAATTATTTTTATAGGTTATTTTGAGAACAAAAATAAATGAGTTGCCAGTAAGAAGATTACGATACTAACTGCTTCGATCGATGAACATCGATTTTCGTTAATCAAAGATGTTGAAAGCAAAAAAATCGATATATTAACATCGATGATACTATACAAAAAATAACGTAACAACGAAATCAATCATCATTGTTAACTAACTACCTCACACAAGACCAATGCATTATTTAATATTTGATAATATTTATATCAATTGAAATGTTGATGTTTTTGATTAAAACTGAATTGTCATATATGTTATACATACATATAATAAAATACATATTTTACACACATGTTTACAAAAGCTGACTCTACTCTTTATCAACAAAGAAATAGATTAAAAGATTCTTCTTTATCAAAATTACTTTTCCTTCGTATAGATGGTGCTATTTATGAAAATCGATTTAACCCCGCAAATTATTAATCGATTTGTTAAAAATCGATTAATATGACTTAGAAAACCGATTATAAAAAATCGATTATACGAAAAAATAATTAACTAAAATAAAAATCGATTATTTTATAACATCGCTATCCGTAACATCCCTTAGGTAAACACGATATAAAATTGTATCTTATTTATTATTAATACAAACGTTTTTCTATTGACCAATTGACAACAGTTTGAGAAAACTAGGATTTTTAGCCAGGTGAAACATGAAAAACTTAAGTTGTTGAGCATAATCAATTGAGAATTTGTACTTTTCTCAATACACAAACCGGCCGTTATATTTTTATCTTAATTATTAGCTAACGCTTATAATATTTGGTCAGAAAACATAATGGAAGAAAGTCATAATACTAAGTCTGTGTAAGTAGAATTTTTGTTTTAGTTGGTAAACAAGGTTTCAAGTCGACTAAATATTTAATCACATAGGGTTTATGAGTCGTTTCCTACTAGCTAATAAAAAATATTTTTATGTATTCAATAATATAGGTGCATTTTTGTAGAAGTTTGAGTATTCCTTTCTCTTCATCGGACACAGCATCTTTAGTACAAGAGGTTTTGGATGTGGATAAAGAGCTTAAAAGCAGTGGAATCCAAAGACAAATTAGTACTGTTGGAGTGAATTTACAAGTGTAAGTTACTTTGAAAAGCATGATTTATCTAGAAGTACACAATTCAAAGGCTTGCATGAGAAAAAAAAAGTGATTTGTTAATGTGGTATTTTTATTACATTTGTGTAATTAAAGTGAAACTTTTCAATTGCTGCAATAGTCTCTTGTATATTAAACTCAGGTTCTGTATGAAAATTAAAATTTTGTGATGTTTTTTGTTCCAGAAAATTTCATGGCAATGACCTTAAAAAAATAAGAGTGGCAGTCAACTCGCTTATAAAAAGTGTTTTGTTAATTATTAAAACCATAGACATATTTCCATAATAGACTTAAATATGCCTGAACACACTCCAGCCCCGACACATGCAAGGTCTTTATATGGATTTTTCATGTATTTATTTAGTAAAACAATTTTGGGTATCTATTGTATTTGGGCATTTGTACCGGATGAATATTTACATTATTTTAATATATATTATTATCCACAAAAGTATTGGTCTACTGCAGTTCCAATTCAGTGTCTTATGGCATTAACATTATTTGTCTTCATTATTTATCCCAGTTCTAATTTAATATTAACACCCAGCATTGATAGCATTAACACAATATGTGATCCTTATTCTCGAACAACTAATAAAATAACTATTACTGAGAGACATTCTGTGAATTGTGTGTGTCATGAACTCAGTAAATGTAAAAGAAAATTTTATATAAGCTCAATAAGCCCTGAGAATACAGTACCACAATTACAAGATTTAAATATAAAATCTGTATGTAGAAAATTGTATCTTAATAAGCAAATTAATTAATTAGTTTTAAGATGTTATTTTTGCATAAAGTTATATATTCATAAATAAAATACATTTCATTATAATTGGATCTTCATTATATTCCTTAAAAATGTAACTTTAATAGATATCTTGCTCCTATTTCCCGACTGCTCAATGTAATGGAGGGTAGTGTGTTTATGAGTCTGTGTAAATGGCTTGGCCAATTTTGATGATTTATAAGTCAATCGATTTCTCTTATCCTTGTGAGTGTCACTAAACACATTCATTCATTCATCATCAGCTCTTTTACGTCCCCATTGCAGGGGCTCAGGCCTCCTTAAACACATAACAGTTATCAAAATTCTTTTTTTAGGATACCTCTCCTACATGTAAAGTGGGGATGATTTTTTAGTTTTTCGATTTCTCTATAGTGTGGGATATTGTTGGATAGGTCTTTCAAAAATAGAAGTGTGCAAAAACCGTTTTATAGTATACAGTGGCCGATCGCAAATTATTAAGCTTTTAATTGCCAAGAACTACTTTGGACCGAGCCATGGTTGACTTAAGTTCGCGAATTTTTGCTAAAGGTCAAACATACAAATTTAAACACAAAAAAGAAAAAACAAGCGCAAAAGTTTGGAATGTTAGTAAGTACTACTTACTGAATAACTGCTCCATTAAAATAGTTTTTAAATCCGTAGAAAATAGTAAAATAGTTTTTAAACACATGAAATATATCATACATTTAAATTCAACTAATAACATTCCAAACTATTGTGCTTGTTTTTTTTTTAGTGAAAGTAATTATATAATTTTTTCACTTCTTTCTTTTTTGATAATGCTATAATATTCTATCACACACTATGGTTCGATAGTAAGATAAGTTAAAAAGTTGTTTTAAAGTTTTATTAAATTATCTATTTCCTAGCTTCCCGTAGGTGAAAGTATTTTTAAAATTGGTCCAGAAGTTCGGAGCCCGTTCAATGCAAACAATCAAATAAGTATAGTATAGATTTATTAAAGACAATCGATATACTAGCCTTTTGTTTCAAAATCGCCATTACCACTCCCCGATTCATCGCACCGTAGAGCATCCGTCCAGGCATATAGGTATGTTTTTGGATTTTCTATGCAGGCATTCTTTTTGATTACCGCCAACAACTCGTACCTATAGTCTGCTCATACCAGTCGCTATTTAGTGTTTAGGGGTAATCACGAATGCGGGTAAATCCCGAAATTACATCGAACAAGCAATATTTTATTTTATTTATTTAAGGTTTACCAACGTTTGTGTTCAATATTACATACATTCTAGTTACAATAAATTTTATGTTAAATAACTAATTGTCACAAACACTTATAGGTAAACACAACATGCACTAGAACATAGAGTAAGTAAGAAACTACACTTTTACACTAGACTATGAGAAAAGAAGTTACTTTATTATTTATACTAATTAATTATTTGAAAAAGAAAAACAAGATCAGACTATTATACGTATGTTAAAAAAAATTAACTCCACAGTTCTAAAAGAGTCCTACGGATCTTTGAAAGTGAGTCGTGATAAATATCTATTGGGTTACTATATTTATTTACCAATTTACATATCCTACATATTGGTGAATTAGAACCGAGCACAGTTCTACGCAGTGGAACGCTTAGTGGAGTGACTCTGTTGCGAGGATATCTAAAGGGTACTCTCGCAGTTTAATTTTCTCAAGCAGTTGAGGGCAATCTATTTCATGAGATAGTATGTTGGAAATAAAAAAAATATCAATTAGAGAATATGCTCGTTATATCGAATTTTAAGTTTTTAATTGACTATAAATAAAAAATATTTCTTAACTTATCAACAATTCCCCGCTTCCGGTATTATCCCAAAGCACTACTGTGAAATTCTGCAACTTTGCCTCGATTTCGTCATTTTTTGCCTAAATCTCTAAATCTATTTATTGATATAGCGTTAATATGTTTAAGAAGGAAGGTAGACTTTATGCGTTATCAAATATGACCCAATTCTCATGAAATCGTGCAAATTCTTCGAATTACTGATGCACAAAGGCAATGTTGTAATGACGAAGACTCGACTTTGCCTAGGATATTTTAATAAAAATGATACCTATATTAATCTTTTCAGATATTCAGTTTGCTGTTTACACGATACAACTTTCTTGTTTCCAGTACTCAATTTATATAACCATTAATGTAATAGTTTTTTCGCGGCTCATGGGCAAAGTTGTAGCAAGTACTACTAACTTTCCATACAAAAATTGCGCCAAAAATACAAATAAATATTTTTAAGTTGAGTAAGTTAAACAAAACAGAATGTGTTTTAAAGATAATTGGCTTTCTTCTCTGTGGACAATAGGGATGATGACTGGGTAAAAGAAATGCAATTCTATTTAGTCCGTAAAAATAATAAGAAAAATATTAGATACGTATTTTTTTTTTACTTTAACAAGAAATAGCTTAGATAACAGGCATTAAAGTTGAGGAGTGGGGGCTCGCTACGTCACAGTTGAGTAGAAAACGTACTCTAACATGACGTCATGCGAAATTTCAACTCAATTTAACGCCGTAATTTTATGATTACGAAAAAAATAAAAAAATAAGTGTTTAATATTTTTTAACACTCTAACTGACGGACAAACAAACAAAAATTAGTCATCATCCCTATTCGGTCGATCGTCCACTTACTTTCATGTGTACATTTACTACGGTTGAGTATTGTCCGACGCGGGATACCCTTACTCTATGGGGATACCACACTGCTTCCACGCTTCATATGATGACATAACTTGGTTTATAATAAGATCTGTAGCAAATTCTAACATTTCTTTAGTGATCAGAATATTTCTATTCTAGGTCCTGGTTTTCTTCTTCTTTTTGTCTATTGTTCCTCATTTTTTAATGAATAACTAAAAAAAATGGTTTATCATCTATTTAGAAGCAACTTAAATGTTTTGAAATTATATTTATTGTCGCCAGTGAAATATAGTTAGAAACTTTTATGACATTACATTTAAAAAGATTTATTTACTATCTAGTTTTTCCAGGGACTTCGTTCCTATTTTTTTTTTTTGCCGGGTATAAGAAATTTATTTATAACACTGCCGTCGTATGAGAGAGGGGCACAACTAAGTTTTTTTCAAAATTGAGTTAGAAAAAGGCGCATATGCACAATTTTTAGTAGAACTTTATCAACAAGGAATTCGGAGATACAGTTTTGCTATATTAGAGAGTATTCATAAGAAATGATAATATTGTGTTAGAAGTCAGATATATATTGATAAGAATAATGCCAAGATTGTTTGTAATATTAAGTGTCAAAAAGGTAGCACAGGAAAGGAGAATGGGCAAAAGTCGGCTAAAATTACGCAAATTACGCACTACGTATTTATCTATCACAAATCTTCTCTTTAATTATAATTTATTCTATATAAATACTATTATATACTTATGCGGCGTTTAAAATTAACCGTATTAAAACAATTGCTAAACTGACCAATTTAGACTCATGATATGGCCTTGGATAAATGTCAACCATGCAACAATAGCTAGACTATTAGCTAGTCAATAGGATGATCGCCTTATCGATTATAGAAAAATAAGGGATTAATCTCGTATCGAAAAAATCGATTGTTTAATTACTATCTAAGATAAGACTTCCTTCGGTTTGCGTTTGAGCATGAACAATGGTATGTACGCTATTTCATAGTAAATTAAGAGACAAATTAATTGAATCTTAATATGACGCGTACAAACTGAACCAACGATTGGCCAAGTTAACGTTCATCACTAATCCCAAAGAATAGGCTTTGTTTATTCGTGTAGGCTTATGCCTATCCTTATGGATAAGGATAAGTTTTCACAGAGGAAGAAACATGCGTGTTTAAGCGGTGTTATACCTAAATAAATATAACAAAATGTTTGGTGTTATACATAAATATAATAAGATTCCATTAGATAAATACCTAAATATCTTAAATTAAGATTTCTAGTGACATTCGTTATAATATTTTCTTTAGTGGTGAATATATACCTACCTACTGCAATACATATAACTACGACTACCTACTAAGTTTCAAGTTATTAATCGACTTAACTTGCGAACTTCCTACCACTACTTTTACAATATGAAGTATTTTAACTTTGATAATGTTAATTAGGTACTATATTAGTCAAAGACTAGTTTTTAATCGTCTCAGTAGTTTTAGAGTTTATCTTTTACAATAAAAAAATCAATCTTTCCTTTTTGTAATATAGGTATGGATATATACTTTTTCGTAATTAAATATTTATATTCGTTAGTCATCGATTGTTTGAAATACATTATTTATTTTATTGGTCTTATACGTAGATGTTATAACGACATAACCTCAAAATCTCTGTTAAATATTCAGATATTCTCAAACTCCGGCATAATTTTTAAACGGTTTTTTTTCTACTCATTCTAGAAATAATTCTCTATCGTTTACTATTGAACAAAAATAGCTGAACTCTCATAGTAAATTGCCCTTTCTCCTTTAATTACAAACATCCGTTAAGCATAAGCGTCTTTTGTAGATAAATGGGTTCTAAGTCTAAGTTTTAATGTGTGAATTGTAGTAGGACTCCTCAATGGGGGCCGTTAATCATTCTAACACTTTGTGGCATGGAACTTGAAGCTACCCCTAAATGCAGTGCGGTGATAATATGGCTCTCATGGTGTACTTGCTGGATGACTTGAAAAATAAGCTTATCGTAAAGATATTCTGGTTGTTGATGCTTTATGACGTTAAATACGAAGCATATTTACCGAATTCAAAAAAGGTGTAATGTGAGCCCGAGGAGGCACGCCAAAGCAAAATCTACAGCACGCATTTGTACTTGCTGAACCAGTTGGCTAGACTTCTTGAGTAGGCGAGGGCCAATCACCACATCAGCATAGTTAGGCCTCGACAGAACAGACTCACATAGTGTTACGCGACTACAAACTAAACGCGAATTATACTTACCCTTACACTAACCTTCCCCCTCCTACCCCAGATAGTGTCGCTACTACTGTAGCAGCACACCTTTACCAATACGGTTCCTACACATGTGGGTCTTGAACCAGAATTTGGTTATACTTTAAAAGATAATGTTTTATATTTTTTGGAAATCCATTTGCATTTAACCATTCATATCTACATAATCATTTTTTTTCGGAGAACCTAAGCACATTAGTTAAATAAACAAGAATTAGATTTTACAACAAACCAAACAAAAAGCTCTAACGTTTAATTTTATTATTATATTACGAAAAATACAACCGGAACTTAAACCTATAAGTTTTCACTACTCAATTTATCGGGCACGATTTATTGGTATCCAGTTAAGGCGGTTGGCGTCGTTGTGATGGCGTCGGCGTCGTACACTGCACTAGATCGCCTCCCTAATCAGTTGGCATGCAAACGTGGTGTTGAAAGGATGGCTCCAAATACTAAAAAAAATTTAAAGGGACTCCCCTTTAATTTTTTTTAGTATTTGTTGTCGTAGCAGTAACAGAATACGTAATCTGTGAAAATCTCAACTATCTAACTATCACGGTAGCGCTACCATGAGTTGCTATCGTAAATTCTCATTACTTTACCGCAGTCGATAGCGAATAAACGCACTTCGAATAGTATTCGATAGAAGTTGTACCATGAGTCACATTTATATTTACTATACTCGCTAACGTTAACTCGAACATTCGAATAGTTTTTGTTACGTGACCGTGTATTGCGCCTAACTTCACTCCAAATGAAACTGTCTCGTTCTATTTATGCTGAATAGAGTGAGAAAGGATGACTTTGGGCAAAAAACTGGCTATTTAGATCTTCAAATTGAAATGTAGATAAAACCCTACTAATTTTAAGCGTCATTGATCAGTCTCATAACGCGAAGTGTAACTGATTATTGAATTTATTCGGTTATTTCCGTGTTGAGACAAATCATTGAGTATTTCTGTTTCTTAACTGGCGGTTGTTTTGGTAAATTGTGTATAATACCTAAACATTAAATGCGGATTAGTGTATCACAAATACAGTTATTGGTTGAGTATATGGAAAGGAATGAACTTCAATACGTTTCTATTATATTATTTAATACATAGGATATACTTTGTACAGTAAAATGTAGTCCTCCAGTTTTTAGATGAAATATTTGTTTAAGTGTTCAGATAAAGTTAAGGAATGCTGAGTGCTCTTTATTTGGTTAAGGTAAATTTAACGCGGGACTTTAATAATATAATACATTGTTTTTTGTTATTTATCAAACATAAAACTTTTAAAATAGACGCAGTTTATGAAATTTTTTAAATATAGTAAGAATATACAACCTAATCCAATGCTATCAGATCTAACCCGGTTACATTCATTTATTTATTATCGTTGTTATCCGTATCACGTATCCCTTTTTAATGTTTTAACAGAAATGGTGACCTTAGTAAACCCACTGAAGGACCACTCGGAAGAGTCACCATTGTTCAAAACACTCCTTATTAAGCCATATTCTTTGATAAAATTATTCTCACTAATATGTCTCATATCCGCTTCAAATTTTCTCTGTTCTCGTCGTTTGTCTTCATATGCAGCTTATGATAACATATTCCACGCAAGATAATGCCTAGTTGACATTATTTGGGTCAATAATAACTGAAAATAATCCATTAAACAATACTCTAAAAAGAGTTATAAGTTTTCACGCTACGTTTTGCAAGTGAGAGAGTTAACTACAGTCGCTACGGTATTTCTCGATGACGTTTATCAAATTTGTAACTCATGGTACCGATGTTCTATGGGATAAGCTACGAAACGTAAAAAACGTTAGTCGCTAGCGATTGGCTTTCGATAGGTAAATTTACTATAGGACTCATACTAGCAATCTTTAGTTTCTCAAGTGACCGCTAGGAGCGCTGTATAGTTCTCCATACAAATCATTTACGCAGTCGCTAGCGAGTACGGTCATTGTAAACTCATGGTAACGCTACGGCTCATGAGATACACCCTGTAGCGTTACCATGAGTTTACAATAACCGTACTCGCTAGCGACTGCGTAAATGATTTATATGGAGAACTGTACAGCGCTCCTAGCGGTCACTTGTGAAACTAAAGATTGCTAGTATGAGTCCTATAGTAAAGTTACGCAATCGCTAGCGACTAACGTTTTTTACGTTTCGTAGCTTATTCCATAGAACATCAGTACCATGAGTTACAAATTTGACAAACGTCATCGAGAAATACCGTAGCGACTGTAGTTAACTTTCTCACTTGCAAAACATAGCGTGAAAACTTATTACTCTTGTTAAAATATTGTTTAATAGATTATTTTCAGTTATTATTGACCCAAGTAATGTCAGCTAGGCATTATCTTGCGTGGAATATGTTATCAAAAGCTGCATATGAAGACGAACGACGAGAACAGGGAAAGTTTCAAGCGGATATGAGAAATATATTGAAAGATCCACTAGTACGTATTAGTAAGAATTATTTAATCAAAGAATAAAGGCTTAATAAGGAGTCTTTTGAAAATTGGTCACTCTTCCGTGTGGTCCTTCAGTGGGTTTACTAAGGTCACCATTTCTGTTAAAACATTAAAAAGGGATACGTGATACGGATAATAACAAAAATCTGATAGCATTGGATTAGGTTGTATATTCTTACTATATTTCAAAAATTTCATATACTGCGTCTGTTTTAAAAGATTTATGTTTGATAAATTACAAAAAACAATGTATTTTATTATTCAAATCCCGCTAAAATTTACCTTAACCAAATAAAGAGCACTCAGCATTCCTTAACTTTATCTGAACACTTAAACAAATATTTCATCTAAAAAAACTGGAGGACTCCATTTTACTGTACAAAGTATATTCTAGGTATTAAATAATATAATAGAAATGTATTGAAGTACATTCCTTTCCATATACTCAACCAATAACTGTATTTGTGATACACTAGTCCGCATTTTAATGTTTAGGTATTATGCACAATTTACCAAAACAAACAATACAAACGCCAGTCAAGAAACAGAAACACTTAATGATCTACAACACAACACGGAAATAACCGAATAAATTCAATAATCAGTTACACTTCGTGTTATGAGACTGATCTATGACGCTTAAAATGAGTAGGGTTTTATCTACTTTTTAAATTTGAAGATCTAAATACCCGGTTTTTTGCCCAAAGTCATCCTTTCTCACTGTATTCAGCATAATTAGAACGAGACAGTTTCATTTGGAGTGAAGTTAGGCGCAATACACGGTCACGTAACAAAAACTATTCGAATGTTCGAGTTAACGTTAGCGAGTATAGTAAATGTAAATGTGACTCATGGTACAACTTCTATTGAATTCTATTCGAAGTGCGTTTATTTGCTATCGACTGCGGTAACGTAATGAGAATTTTCGATAGCAACTCATGGTAGCGCTACTGGTGACAGCAAAGAAATCACGTTTGTTGTATGGGAGCCCCCTTAAATTTATTTTATTCTGGTATTTAGTATTTGTAGTAGCGGCAAAAGAAATACATCATCTGCGAAATTTTCAACTGTCTAACTTTCACAGTTCATAGTATTTAATCTTTTTTTGTGGTACAATACAATTTAACTAAACAAATGATATTAATTATAGTACGTTTTGTGCATAACACTACAATTTCTACGAGAAAATAATGTTTAAATGGTAATTTATGAGAATAATATAAATTACAACAATTACATTAGTCACATATAAACGTTAAATAACGATTTATATGCATTTTTTCCAAGAAATAAAGTTAAACCAACAAAAAAATATTCACTCCGCAAAACTTCTAAAACTGCCGGAAGTTTCAAGGAAAGTTTCATCAGAAAAGGAAAGTTTCGCGGCAATTTTATCTCTACTAAAAAATAGTGTTAAAAATAAAGGTAGTGACGTGAATTAGTAAAAGTCGAAAAGTGTATTTTATTTAAAAAAAAAAATGTAATTTGAAATTGTTAAATAAAGAGTCGGATTGTGAATTAAATTGGCGTTATATTTTTATCCCGACTCCTATTCGTATCAATATACTTCTGACCTGTGCTTCTGACAATATCGTTATATATATTAACAGTGTTATTAATAAACAAGGTTTAGCGTTGGAGTAAATTAACGCTGAGATTCCACTTAGTATTAGTCAAAATTCAAATTATTAAACAGAGACTTAGCAAAGGTTAACCTAGTACGAGGTTCATCAGGGATAACATTCTCCATCCTAAAAGGTAGTATCCTCCATCCTAAATGGTTTGTTTACTCTCCGTATTATGAATTTAGAGTAAGACTAATACTAAAATTTAAATTTTAATGTAAATTTACTCTGCCCCTAAACCTTGTTTATTAATAGCACTGACATTGAATAAGTAGTAAATACGATAGCATAAATATCAATCGTTTCTTTTCCCTTTTTCGTTTTAAAATTTTGTTGGATTTTATCATTCACAAGCTGCAGTGTTCGTATCATAATGATGACTTAATCGTAAAGTTCGTAGCGGCCTCGAAATATCATTAATTATTTAATTAAAATACCTATTTAGGTATAGAATAAAAAAAAGCTATAACTTATTTGTAAATTTCTCCTATTTACGATAATATTACTGAACATAATTTGTACCAAAAAATTATAAATTCATAAGGAATAAAGATTTCATAATTTTTAAGCACAAATTTATTATCATATTTAAATAAAAACATTCAATATAAATGGAAAGTGACTATAAAATGCGATGCACAAGCCGTCCGAGCTCAATTTGTACCTATGGCCGCGTAGCGAGTTTGTTTGTAATAGGGCTTTTAATTATCTCACCTTAGCTATAATATCCCTGACTCATAAGTTGGAGTTTAAATGATGACTTGGAAGTTTTGAAATCCATTCTCATATTATACTTAAATACGAGAGGCAGAAGAGACAGAAAGAAAGACATAGTTACTGACTCTGCGCGTGTTGTGTTCTTTTGCCCTAACTACTGAACCAATTTGGGATTACCGTAAAAAATAGCCTTAAGGGGGCGATAACAATCGAAATTCACGCGGGCAAAGCCACAGGCAGAAAGCTAGTTTACGGTTCTAGCTGTGACGCTGCCGAACTGACGTCAGTCGTATTTTTTCTCCGTAACTACTAACATGGCTATTCGTCCCTATTCCGTAACGGACTGATAAATCAGGGATTGTGAGGACTTGATTCATTTCAAAATCGAAAAGGGTGCTAGATATGCTTATCGCGTTTGTTTCCGTTACAAACCCCTTACCCTCGTACATGACGAACTCGAGAACCAGTCGAGAGAGATATACCCATACAATATCTCTCTCTCTCTCTCTTAACTGTTTCTCGAGTCTCGTTTTCATTATGTGATGAGGGCTGCTTATTATTTCGGTTTTTTAAAAAGGATTTGGCGAAAACTCAGTGAAACCATAATTTATGGAGCTCAATGTTAATATATTTTTATAAGGTTAAAACAACACTTCCCATGATTAGTACAAAATAAAATTAAATATATTGTTAGTTTTTTTACATAGGTAAAATTTATTTAATAGTTCAGAACATATTATGAAGGACTACACACTGAATTGAGATAAAAGACTGAAAAATGATGTAAGCCACTTTTAGTATTCACAATATGAACTTATTATTGCATCAATAATTATTTGGCAGACCAAAAGAGATTTTCCAACAGTGCATAGGTCATTAAACCTAATAAATATAATAGTGAAATTTGGAATAGAAGCTGTAAGAAAATCTGCAATTAGACTAGCCACTACATCTTATATACCGAAACATTATGGCTAAGAAACTTTAATATGTGATGTTCCAGCATACAAGTTCAGTTGCATGCAGGCAACAAGGGGCCAGCATACACCCAAATATAAATTAATTTTAAGTAATAGTCATAGATAGTAATTTTAATATATTTTGTACAATAAAATACAATTAAGTACAACTTGTAGCAAAGATATTAAAGAGAGTAATATTTATCTCAAGTGTTAAAGCTGCAATAACGTGTGTGTACGCACAAGGCATATTTACACAGCACACACGCACGGCAACAACACACCATGTGCTGCACACTATAGTACATAATTATTTTTATTACTTAATAGAATATAAAGACACGCCCAAGCTGAAAACTCTCCCATTTACTTTACATATTTCAATGCATGATTAGCCAATGAACATGTCTGTACTTCACTAGCATTTTGCTAAATAATACATCGATCGTCACTTAATATCACAGCTAATTATGCTTTGAAAATTATAGACATGTCTAATTTTCACTAATGTAGATAACAATGTAGAGTATAAGTAGACAATCTGAATAAATTTACATTACAATATCATGTCTTTTCATATGAAAAATTTTAAATTACATTACCAAAAATTAAACAGTGCAGCGCATTATAAATAAATGTGCATACCTTAACATTTAATTGACTAAATAAATTTGTTGCCTGCAGATCTGACATATTTTAAATATCGAGAGGTAATATCTT